GCATGTGGATTTTCAAGGTGAAGCGGCCACCGGGTTCTCCTCCTGTCTTCAAGGCGCGCTACGTGGCTCGAGGCTTCAGTCAGCGAGAGGGAGTTGACTTCTTTCAGACCTTCTCCCCCACCCCGAAGATGACCACTCTTCGGGTGCTGCTGCACATAGCCGCTCAGCGCGACTACGAGCTTCACTCACTTGACTTCAGCACTGCTTTCTTGCAGGGCAGCCTGCACGAGGAGATCTGGCTGCGCCGCCCTCCTGGCTTCACTGGGTCGGTTCCTCCTGGTACCCAGTGGAGGCTTCAGCGGCCGGTCTACGGTCTCCGCCAGGCACCGCGTGAGTGGCACGACACACTGAGGACGACACTTGCGGCTCTTGGGTTCGCTCCCTCTACTGCTGACCCGTCACAGACACCTCACTGCCGCCGTTCTACATCCTCGTGTACGTCAACGACTTGGTCTTTGCCACTGCTGACACCGCGGCACTTGCCCACGTGAAGTCGGAGCTGCAGAGGAGACACACGTGCACAGACCTGGGTGAACTGACAAGCTATCTTGGCTTGCGGATCACCCGGGACAGAGCACGGCGCACCATCACCTTGACTCAGTCACACATGGTGCAGCAGATCCTTCAGCGCTTCCGCTTCACGTACTCCTCGCCTCAGTCCACTCCTCTGCCTACCGGTCACTCGCTCTCAGCTCTGCCTTCGGATGAGTCCGTAGAGCCGAGTGGCCCGTATCCAGAGCTTGTGGGCTGCCTCATGTACCTGATGACCTGCACTCGACCTGACCTTGCATACCCTCTTAGCATCCTTGCACGCTATGTCGCTCCTGGCCGTCACAGGAAGGAGCACATGGATGCCGCTAAGAGGGTGTTGCGCTACTTGTGCAGTACGTCGGGCATGGGGCTAGTGCTTGGAGGGCGAGACCGAGTTGTACTTACTGGACACTCAGACGCTTCTTGGGCGGACGACCAGGCTACTCAGCGGTCGTCTCAGGGTTACACCTTCAGCCTTGGCTCCGGCTCAGTTTCTTGGCGTTCTACACGCTCTTCTTCTGTTCTCAGCTCTAGTTGTGAGGCTGAGATCTACGCCACAGCCATGGCGGCCCAGGAGCTACGCTGGCTGACCTACCTGCTGACCGACTTGGGTGAGCGGCCTCGTTCTCCTCCAGTGCTGTACGTCGACAACCAGGCTGCCATTGCCTTGTGTGAGGAGCACAGACTGGAGCACAGAATGAAGCACATCGCCCTGCGGTACTTCCTTGCTCGAGAGCTGCAGCAGCGCGGTCAGCTTTGTCTGCGTTACGTGGCCACTGAGGCCAACCTTGCTGATGTGTTCACCAAGGCGCTTCCGCCTTGTGACCATCAGCGCTTCTGCACTCTGCTAGGCCTTGTGCCTACTGGACCTCACTTACTTACCTCTTGACCTTGCTTGTACTGTGATCACTATATATATATCTACCTGCATGTTTACTCTTGCTAGGTTGTGATCACTGTATCTCATGCTCTGTTATAAACCTGCATGTGAACTGGTCTTGTGACCACTAGCTTGTGCTCGGAATTTGTGTGGTATCCTTGAGATCCACCCTGAGCTTGTTGTTGCCTTGCTTTGCCTTGACTGGTCTTGTGACCCCTAGGTCTTCCCCACTTTGCCTATGGGGGTGTGTCAAACATTATATGTGTTGTGTTTGTGTAGGCTGTAGTGGGTTAGCCTATAGGGGGGTCACAACATTAGGGTTTCATATTTGTACTCACAATCCTTTCTAGTTCACCATTCCAGTCCGTTATTACTGACAAATAGGTGTCCTCTGCAAGACCAGCAAACCTTGCTGTTACGCATGCGCACAGAAATTGCTCGAGCGGGGTTAGTGGTAAACGAGTTTGCAACTCACCGACACATACTTAGCCATTGCATTGTATGTCGACTGAGATGGGGTTGCGACAGGCTTGGTCGCAACATGATTTAGGAGCTGCAAACGTAGGACAACATCGATTAACATAAAAGAACGCTGCAAACATATGCCAATGAACGAACACCAGGATGAAATTAGACTATAGAACAGGAAACAAAACACGTACACCAGTACATCGCGTAGACACAAACGTAACCCTCACCAGTGATACTATCACCTTTTGCCGGTCGCCACGCTGATAGCCGAATAGAAGATCGCACGTCTGGAATTGAGGTGAGAACACGGGTGAGAGAAAGGGAGATAGTGAAAACAGGTGCACCGAAACGCACAAAATTTCCGCCGCGCCGATACAGGACCGACGACAACGCTTCAAGTGCTGGACGTTCCTGAGGGAAACGCAAGAGATGCATGGAGAAAAGAGTCAGGAAGGGAAGAAACCTTGCTGGCGCATCTTGTTGAGATAAGCGGTAGTCTTAGGAGCCATAGCTAGGAGAGTCCTAGCTAGGCAAGAGAGTTTAGGCGAAAGAGAGGGGTTGCACTAGCAAGAATGAGGATACAAATAGCAAACCCTAGAAGGGTTGTACTCGCTACAGAGCACCCCACTACAGGCTAGAGCATAATATTCTGACACACCCCCATAGCCAAAGTGGGGTGTAATCAACAGAGCAAGCAAAGCAGTACAAGCTCAGGGTGGATCACAATGTCACCACACATTCTGAGCACAAGTTTAATAAGCAATAGTTTAAAGTTAAAAGCAGTGTGGGAGAGGGCTGCCTCACCCGCGCCTGCACTCGGTGCAGCCGCCCCTGTGCTTCCTTTCCCCTCCTCCTCCTTTCGTTCCCACTGCTGCAGCTGCCGCTGGGGGGGAGGGTGTGAGGGTGTGGGGGAGCCGGGGGAGTGGCACTGGGGTGGCGGGTGTGAGACCAACCAGCAGCCGTCCCTCCACCTCTCCTCTCTTCCCCCCTCTGCTGCTCCTGCTGCAGTGTAGGGGGGAGGGGGAGGGGGAGGGTGAGGGGATGGAAGGGGTGACCAGCCAGCGCCAGCCCGCCTCCTCTCTCTCCCTGCCGCCCCTCCTGCGGTCCGTGGGGGAGGAGAGTAAGGGGGTGGCAGAAGTGCCTTGCTGTCGCCTGCCCCTTTGCTGCCGAACCTTTTCTGCTGCCTTGCCTGCTGTTGCTGTTTTCTCGGTCTGTGGTGTACCCCTGCAGGTTGTGTCTTTCACTTAGCTATTCCTGTATGCTGTTACGGGGGGATGTCAGAATTATATATAACTGCATGTAGTTCTAGCTGTAGTGTAGTCATACATTTGTTCTTGCTTGGTGGTGCACCCTTCCTGAACTATAACTTGTACTTGTTTCTCATATTGCATCATTCCTATTCTCGACTTTCTCTCTTGGCACAAACTTCCTCTCCCCCCTTGGCCTAGGCTACTAAGCCTAGGCCCTAAACCTAACTACCACTTGTGCTAGTATCTCAACACGACGTTGATGACGCCACCCGTTATGAAGCCGTCGTACCGGCGTAGCTAAAGATGTCGATGACGAAGCCGATGCGGAAGATGCCCGTCGCGATCTGGATCATCCACTGCGTATTTCAGCTGTAGAAACAAAGCAAATAGGACGGGGAGCTGGGTGTTGCGGATGGGATGTGGAAGCAAAAGAAAAACGAGAAATAGTTAGAACGTAATGGAGGGGTGAACAGGGACTTCAACCCGAGATGTCCGCTTTGGAAAATATGGAAACGCTACAAAAACGTATACCTTTCGCAAGTCACCACTTGCGCATGTCCAGGGCGGAAACACTGAAAGTCGTCGACCTGTAATGTGAAATGGGAGGTTTGGAGGGGGGGACGGAGTTGAAGGGGAGATATCAGAAATTAGAAGAGAGTTAATTAGACTGGAAAACGTCAAGCGGTTTAAAAGGGGAATACAGTATGAGCGAGAGCGCAGAACATAACGACATTGAAGTCCAGTAAGAACAGATCTAGGATGCGGGAACTAGAGAAGCGGTGTACGGGAACCCTGGAACAATAAACTGAGAATGAGGAAACAGATTGAGTGAGGGGATTTGTATGGGAGGAATAGAGGCGTTGTGGGGATTGGTGGGGAGGGCAAGCGACGTCTTTCGGAAAAGCTGGAGGTGGGGGGGCATTAGGTGGACAGTTGATCTGGCTGGATATGCTGACATGTACAAACGGAGGGTGTTGATTGCTTTACAGTTTACAGCCACAACAGTGATTGGTTGAATAATATTGTACTGGATAACACGTCACTTGGGTTTGGTGGTTCAGATGCAGATTTGATATCTCCCGAAAGCTAGGTATCCATGTTTACAACCTCGCTAAAATTCGTGGGGACGTAATATTTTCGCGAGTACGGTTGTTCCATCTAACAATCAATGTTACTGTGCGTAATCGCTGGTTATCGTTTTTAACCGTGTAAAACCGTAGACTTGATGTTCAAGTCACTTTCGAGTGACTTTTTGGCGCGAGTGTTTAGGTCCGAAACTGGTGTACGGAAATTTGCGTTTCCGGGCTGTTGTTTTTCGGACACTTCGCGCAACAAAACCGCAAACTTTTCGCAGAAAAACCTTCGGACCCCCAATTTCGTCATTTTCCTTTTCCGCGATGATTATGGGTCCTAGTACAGAAACCCCAAGCCAGAATGGTCAACGGCTCCTTGGTACAGTAAACGCTAGCTGCACCAGTAAGAGCCGTGCCGTTCGGAACATGATACGGGTGCAGACCTCGTTACGTGGAGACGCTCTTTCGTGTGCGGACAAAGGGACGTTGGCACCCCCTGTTGGCCCACCCGCATTCGCCTCGCCTGAGAGCCGAGGCACCCCTTTGGGTTGACTCCCGGCCCGGCGGTGCTGCCGTTGATCTCACCTGCCCGCTCCCTCCAGGGAAGGCTGCGCTTCGAGGCGCTACACAGCTAGTACCAGTGGTTGATGGCATCACATCACCCTTGGGACTGTGAGTTGATTCAACACAGCCCTCTCCTGCAGATCCACTCCTCGTCTCCGCGTCCCTATCGCTACCCTGTCGCACACCCTCTCCCGCTCCCACACTGCTTTTAACTTGAAAGCACGGCCGCGAATGGCTTGCTATTCTCCTCGGACAGCCGCCGTGGTCGCGCTGCTGCTGCACGCGGCGTGCGTCGCATCGCCGCATCGCCTCGTGGTGGGCCATGTGTGGCGGCTGCCCTCCAATGCGGAGAATATCCGCCGCGAGATGGCCGTCAAGGCGCCTGGTGAGCCTTATGATACCCTAACCTGTCTATGTTATGCTAACCTGTCGTCCGACGAGTGTCTTGTCACTCGGTGTGACTCACACACGCCCATTCCATCCAAAAATGCTTTAAGAGTTTAATCTCGCCATGACGCCCGTCCGTGCTTCTCCCCATTCCCTCCTCCCCTCCTCCAGCTTCATCCGGGCCGTCTCGTTTTTCTGCACTCACCCATGCACATTGCATCCCAATCTGTCTTTGAGAGTTTTAATTCCTCATGATGTCCCCACACGTGCGCTCTCCCCATTCCCTCCCCCCCTTCCCCCCCCCGCCCCCCCCCTCCCCCCTCTCCCCCCGCCAGCCACATGCCCCGCTGGAGTGGTGTGCCCAACGGGAGCATACTGTGTGGTGGACAGCGGCGGCTTGCCCTTCTGCAAGTGCCTCACGGGGCAGGGCATCGTCAACGGCGCGTGCATGGGCGGCATGAGCTGGAAGACGGTGGGTACGAGTGTGGTGCTCTACAACGCGCCCTCCTTCGCCACCTCGCCCGCCACGCTCGCTCCCGCTGTGCTGCGCGCGCCAGCGCCCAACTCATCGGCCTGCGCGGTGGTGCCAAAGGGGTTCAACGGCACGGTGGGGTCGCTGCGGATTATGTGGAACGTGAATGACGGCGCGGGTGAGCACCTGGTGTGCGGCAAGGTGGTGTTTTGGGATAGGAACGACTGCTCCGGTTCCTCAGCGGTGTATGAGATTCCTGGCAAGTGGACGGCGGCGAGTCCCACCAAGTTCAACTACGCCACCACCAGCGTCAAGTGAGTGCCCAGCCCATGCTGCAGCGGCAACTGTCTCCCGCAGGGTTCAGGGTGATCTCTTCTCGTCTTTGCTCTTCCTGAGACGACTGGCTCTGCTTGTGTTTGGTAGCACTAATCGCGACTTTGTGTGACTTGCCTGCCTGTTCGCGTGTGAGTGACGGAGAGCAGGAAGGCAGTGGGCGTGGTGGCGACGGGCAGGTCTTTCTCTTGCCTGGCAGCTGTGAAGCCGCCCGTCACGGACCTCTGTGCCACGGCGGCTTGCCCGCCCAACTCCAAGTGCGTGCTCACGAACAGCTCCTTCGCTCAGTGCGTGTGCAAGTTTGGCACCACCATGGTTCCCGAGGGCTACTGCGTTGGTGAGTCGTCGCCATGTCATGGCGTGGAGTGGATTGGAGTGGAGTGGAGTGGTGTGGTGTGCACTATGGGAGGGAATTCATGCACACCCCTGCTGCACTGCACACGTGCATGCATTGACTCATGATTTGCAGACTCGTGCCTCTCTCTCGCGCTGCTTCTCTCTCCCTCTCTCTCCCTCTCTCTCCCACTCGCTCCCCCTCTCTCTTCCCCTGTCCAACGTCACATGCACGAGATGTCCTTACTCCTTTGCTCTCATTGGTCCGCTTCTGCACAAAATGGCTTCATGCATGCCCACTCCTGATAACACCAACCTGCTAATTTGTTTCTTTGTTGCAGATTCGTGCGCCGTGAAGCAGTGTGGCACGGGTGGCAATTGCGTGATTCTATCGAACGGCCAGCCGTACTGTGATTGCAAGGATGGCTACGAGCAGGAGTTTGTAACTGGCTCATGCATTGGTATGTGTGCTCATGCATTGGTATGTGTGCTCATGCATTGGTATGTGTGCTCATGCATTGGTATGTATTCCCATGCATTGGCATGTATGCTCATGCATTGGCATGTGTGCTCATGCAGTGGTATTGGTGTGTGCTTAAATCCGTGTGTGTGCTTACATTGGTGTCTCACTCTCTCTATCTCACTCTTCCCTGTCCACTTTTCCGATCTCTTCATTCCCCTTTCCATACTCTCCCCCCATCCTATCCCCTCCCCCTTCCTCCCCATCCATACCCGCCTCCCCTTTCCCGCTCTTGCTTCCTTGTTCTCCCACGTATATCACACCCAGCATTATCCATCCCCTTCCAAGAACTGTCGTCACTCCCGCGTATATCACACCAGTTACTACCTAGTATCCCCTCTCGAAAGTTGTCGTCTTCCCTTCCTTCTGTGCACAAAGTCACAATCCACGTCTTCCTTTTTTTTCCTCAACCCCCATGGTGCCTACAGGAGAAGGGCAGTGCAGGGAGTGCAAGCAGGACACCTTTGGCTTGTTTGACATACCATACGCTTACTGCCCGCCGGGCTACAACATGCACTCTGGTGCCTGCCTGCCAGGTGGGAACTGTTGCCTGCCAGGTGGGAACTGTTGCCTGCCAGGTGGGAACTGTTGCCTGCCAGGTGGGAACTGTTGCCTGCCAGGTGGGAACTGTTGCCTGCCAGGTGGGAACTGTTGCCTGCCAGGTGGGAACTGTTGCCTGCCAGGTGGGAACTGTTGCCTGCCAGGTGGGAACTGTTGCCTGCCAGGTGGGAACTGTTGCCTGCCAGGTGGGAACTGTTGCCTGCCAGGTGGGAACTGTTGCCTGCCAGGTGGGAACTGTTGCCTGCCAGGTGGGAACTGTTGCCTGCCAGGTGGGAACTGTTGCCTGCCAGGTGGGAACTGTTGCCTGCCAGGTGGGAACTGTTGCCTGCCAGGTGGGAACTGTTGCCTGCCAGGTGGGAACTGTTGCCTGCCAGGTGGGAACTGTTGCCTGCCAGGTGGGAACTGTTGCCTGCCAGGTGGGAACTGTTGCCTGCCAGGTGGGAACTGTTGCCTGCCAGGTGGGAACTGTTGCCTGCCAGGTGGGAACTGTTGCCTGCCAGGTGGGAACTGTTGCCTGCCAGGTGGGAACCTATGTTGCGCCTGACGCCCAGGAAGGGCAGCGTCCAGCGTCCGGACGCTCACGTCCGGACGCTGGACGCGTCAAATCTGTTTAACGCTGGACGTTCGGGAATTTTTTTCCGGGCAGCCCGGAAAAAAAATCGCGCACGCAATTGACGCGCGATTTCATCGCGACCAGAATTGCGATGAAATTGGCAAGCGGGGGTTGCGTTTTTGACCCACAAAAACGCAACCAACATTTATCCCCCCCGAAACATTTGTACCCATCCATATCTATTTCTCCCAACCAGGTCGATCCCCAACTAAACTAGAGAACCAGATCTAGGTCGACAGTACACAGATCTGTTTCTCTCGACATTGCCAAGCATACCTAACACTAGAATCCGCCAGTCACGCTACTAAGCCTTCCTAGCTAGATTTAGGTTAAAGCGATTAAGTTATCATGTCAACTCTTAGTCCCGCCGGATTTAGGATTTTCAGGATTTTCGGGAGTGTTTATAACTTTTGGTGAAAATTGTGAACTTGTTGCATTCTAACCCCTGTGTATCCTTACTAGGCAGGTTTTTTCACTCCTGCCCGGGAAAAGTTTTGCCCTGCCCGGACTAGCGTCAAGCGGGCGTCCAGGGCAGAGGAACCCGGGCGTCAAGCGTCTGGACGCCCCGTCCAGACGCCAGCGTCAAAAACGCCTGACGCGTCAGGCGCAACATAGGTGGGAACTGTTGCCTGCCAGGTGGGAACTGTTGCCTGCCAGGTGGGAACTGTTGCCTGCCAGGTGGGAACTGTTGCCTGCCAGGTGGGAACTGTTGCCTGCCAGGTGGGAACTGTTGCCTGCCAGGTGGGAACTGTTGCCTGCCAGGTGGGAACTGTTGCCTGCCAGGTGGGAACTGTTGCCTGCCAGGTGGGAACTGCAGCTCTTCTTGCAGGCTATGCATACCCCGTGCGATTAACAGGGTAGTAGTTATGATGCGGTCGCTGCTTCACCATCATCTCAGGGAAGCATTTACTTCTTTTCTTCTCCTTTTTCTTTTCACCATCTTATGCTTCCTCTCCCCGATCCATTCCACCACTCCCCTGCGTCCAATCATCCAATCACCTTGCAGGAGTCCTGCCTGACGTGGCAGACATCTCCATCAGCATATACAGCGTGCCTGCCTTGGGCAGCAGCGGCACGGCTCCTCCCTACATCTTCTGACTGAAGCCCAACAAGTGTGTCACCATCCCACCAGACGTCATCGCCAGCAGCAAGTCGGCCGGCATTCTGTTTTGAGCGCCGGGGTCGAGTGTCCGATGCACCACCATGGTCATCTATGACGCACTCTTCTGCAAAGGGAACCCTCTCACCTCTGACGTGCCTGCTGGCAATGACCTTTACGAAATGTCCATTCTGTGAGTACCTCTCCTCCCTCTCTCCCTCTCTCCCTCTCTCCCTCTCTCCCTCTCTCCCTCTCTCCCTCTCTCCCTCTCTCCCTCTCTCCCTCTCGCTCTCCCTCTCCGCTTGTCTTGTCCTTTAGGTCTGCCCTTCAACTTCCCTGTCTCTAACCCTCAACGCCCACTACTTTTGCCGTCATCCCGCATCGTATGCATGAGCTCTCAACTAAATGCCTTCTTTGAATCTGCATATCTCTCTCATCAGGAACAATGGAGTTTGGAAGCCCTTGTCTGTTCAGTGCCTTCTGTGGACTGTATGACCCTCTGGCTGAGAAGACGTCAAGCTCAGAGCCTCTGGCTGGGAAGGCGTTATATTTCAAAGCTCTAGACCCAAATTGCAGACCGCGCTAGGCAGGTTAAGTAATCTTGATGGCTTGGAGTTTGAAGACTTGAGAAGCAACGCCCTTGCAAATTGAGACTTTTAGGAATCCAAACGCGTAGGGATACAACACAAGATACATAATTGTTTTGCAACTATTTACAACAAACTTTGCAGTGCAACATCCAAGAAAAAGCTCATCGTGGTTAAAGAGCAGCGGATTTGGTCTAACCCGGGTCGAGGAGAAGCAGGCGGTACTGCAGGCTGATTGGCGAGGCAGGTAGCAATGCGGGGGGAGCAGCGCGTGCATGTAATCTAACCTGGGTCAAGGAGGGGAAGGCGGTATTGCAGGCTGACCAGCAAGGCAGGTTGAGGCCTGGAATTCTTTGAAACTTCTGAGGATCGTAGCGAGAAGCAGGGTGCAATGTAGAGGAGCAGCAGGTGAGATGCAATCTACCCCGGGTGGAGGAGGGGCAGGCGGTACTGCAGGCTGATCGGGGAGGCGGCGTATTGGAAGATCATAAGAAGACACGCCTCGTTGGGGGCCACCCCTGCTCGTACGGAGGGGAGGTGGGGACGGTGGGGGTGATGGAGCAGAACGCAGCTGTCATGCCTCGTTGGGGACCGCCCCTGCTTGTATTGTCTGCATGGATGGTGGAAGTGGGTTGGGAAGTGATGGCGCTCATATAGGTCGCATGGTAACAGTGACAGGAGCACACAGCAGGGTGGTAATGGTGACGGGAAGGGTGCAGGCATAAGCAGGAAAGCAAAACAGAGTTCACACTTGCAGCAGATCAGCAAGCATGGAGGGTAATGTGAGGAGAGGAAAGTGACAAGGGAAGAGATCGTAAGAGGAAGAGCTGCAGGGAAGAAAGAAAGCCCACACAAGGGGTCACCAAAAGGGGAGGAAGAAAACTACAAAGGAAAATTAACGCATGCGTAAACAGTTGAAGGCATCGAATGAGCGCAGTAGGTGTGCGGGAAGACAAGACAGCACGAGAGAATAAGAACCCCAAAAAAAAAGAGAGAGAGAGTAAAAACGGAAACAATGAGAACAGAGCAAGCAGAAACTAAAATGAGTGGCACTGGCCGAGTGAGTGGAGGCGTCAGTGTAGGTGAGGTAACACGAGAGAATAAGAGGACAAGAAACAAGCGGAAACGAAAGACGGGATGAAAGCAAGTGGAAACAGAATCGACGGCATGCGTAACGGCACGGACTGAGGAGCGAAACTAACCGCAGTAGGAGGCGTCAGGGCGGGTGAGGTAGCACTGCAGACTGCGGGCAAGGTGCCTCACTGACTGCTCGGGAGGGTAGAGGTGTGAGATGGATGTGGGAGTGGTGAGACGGGGTGGAAGAGGGGTGAGATTCGCGCTAGAGAGGCTGGGATGGAGGAGAGATGGAAGAAGCGGAGTGTGAGGCAGAGGAAAGAGGAGAGGACGAGCGGGTAGAGGAGGCGAGCTGGAAACTGTAGGTGCGAATCACAAAATCAGTTCGGATTCCATGGCATGAGTACAGCTAGGGCTTTTTGGGAGCAATGATGTGCTTCATGTGCTTCTGGGAACACGAGTCGTGAAAGCAGTAGTGCTTCTGTTGGGCAAGAAGCATGCGCAGTTGCGGTGCCAGTGAGACAAGTGACGAGTCTTAGCAACAGAAAATGCTGACCCCGACTCGCTCACCATATCTTTCTTTGCACGAGCAAAATTGATTTCCACAATTTGCGTTCCACGTTCCACATCACATGTATGTGTGCTGCAACTGCCACAATGAATTGGGTTCGCAATATTCTTCCACCCTTACCACTGCATGAGCGCTGCAGCTATCACGCACCAACAGACATCGCTACTGGTGCTCTATATATATGCTGATTCACAGCACGATACCACTGCAACTGTCCCACAAGTATAGCATCGCCTATATATGCCTCACCACAACTGTAGCATCGCCTGTAGCTTGCATCTGCCTGAGCCTGGTGGACAGCCCAGATATGTCTGCATCGTCGTCTGAGCCACCTTGCCTGCTGCCCTCCCCCAACCCCGCTCCACTCTGCTGGCTCTCTGCTTTGCTTAATGAGGTGTGCAAAGGGGTGAAGAGGGGTGGAGAGAGGTGAAGAGGGGTGAGGAGAGTGAAACGGGGCAACAAGAGCGAGGGGGGTTGTGACAAACTGACGAAAGACGAGGAGCAAAGTGACAATCGTGTGAGCAGAGCCTGGCAGGCAGAGGTGGAAAGAACCGTTTCATTTTCATGGGAACCTCATATGCCACTGCACTGCACCAAAGTTGGCGCCAAAGACTCTCAAATTCTTGAATTGGGCGGCAACAGTGATGGAGGGCGTGTGCGTGCGCATGGAAAGTACAGAGACGCCTCAACAGTCACCTGATAAGGGCCCAAACCGAACAGACCAACTGCGTGTTTCACCTGAATTAGCCCCGAAGACTCTCAGGTTCTTGAACTGCGTGGCGACGGTGATGGAGGGCGTGTGCGTGCGCATGGCGAGCGCACCGCTGCTCATGGTTGCCACGTCAGCCACGTCGCCCACACTCTGCAGTCGCTCCACCAGGTGACGCAGCGAGGGCAGGTCCGGCAGCTGCACCAGGGTCTGAAAGAAAGGGGGGAGGGAAGGAGAGGGCATGGTGGGGGAGAGGGAATGGTGGGGGAGAGGGAATGGTGGGGGAGAAGAGAACAGCGAGGAAGGGACGATTTGAGGGCAAGGTGGGATTGCTCCACTGATGTAATGTTGTGACCCACACTCTGCAAGCGCTCTCCCAGATGGCGCAGGGACGGCAGATCCGGCAGCTGCACCAGGGTCTGAAGGGGCGGGGGGGGGGGGTTGGAAGAGGAGAAAGGAGAGGAAGGGGAGAGCATACACGGAAGGCTTTACTCCAACCATGGGTGGCCACTGCTGGTTATTCATCCCAAGACGGGCATTTGACAACACAGCATTGGGCAACGTGTGCCTCACCTGAGACAGTGAATGTACGAGCTTGATGCCCCAGGAGTCAACAAGAGTCAACCAAAGTCAACGGCGGCCTTATACCTGTGCAACGAGCCGAGCACGAGTAATGCTCGACTCGTCCCTAGCCATGCTCGGCCGAGTACGAGCCCGATGTTAGAATATCTCCTCTCTTGTAACCTGCATATATGCTATAGGATAGGCTAGAGATAAGCACCCAAACTTAGTTTGGGTGTACAAGCAGGGGTTACCCAATTTGTAGGTTGGAAACCCAACCTTGGTCCAATTATTGGACCCCAAGGGTTGGGATGGGTAGAATTATTGGTCCCCTCCAATAATGTTGGCCCAACTCCAACTTGGCCAACATTATTGGACCCCACCAATAATCTCCCAACCCAACTCCTTGGTTGGGGTCCAATAATGTTCACCTAGGCTAGTTTCCAACTCATCTCCTATGTAAACCCCCCATCCTTTCAATCAATCCATCAACTTCTCTTCTAACTTTTCTTCTCACATGGTATAGAGCTCTTAAAAAAAAAAATCCTAGGCCTACACTCCTAGTTTTTTCAAAGGCCGCCGCAACCCCCGGCCTCCTTTCTCATTTCTCCGCGGCTATCTCGCCACCCTCCCCCTCTCCTCAAGCACTCCCTTCCTCGCAGCCCCACGGCCTCCCACGCCATCACGGCTCGCGGCCCCACCGCCGCTTCCGCGCTCGCCTTGTCGCGGTCCCGCCGACCGCCACCGCCCGTCCCATCCCGCGGCCTCGACGCCGCCTCCGCGCCAACGCCACTGCGGCCGCCGTCGCCGCCGCCGCTCCCTTCCGCGGCCTCAACGCCGCCTCCGCGCCTGCACCGCTGCGGCTTCGCCAGCCGCCGCCGCTCGCGCCGCTCCCTCCCGCGACCCCGTCGCCGCTTCCGCGCCTGCACTGCCGCGGCTTCGCCAGCCGCCGCCGCTCGCGCCGCTCCCTCCTGCGGCCTTGTCGCCGCTTCCGCGCCTGCACTGCCGCGGCCTCGCCAGCGCCGCAGCTCGCGCCGCTCCCTCTCGCGGCCTCGTCGCCGCCTCCGCGCCTGCACTGCCGCGGCTTCGCCAGCCGCCGCCGCTCGCGCCGCTCCCTCCCGCGACCCCGTCGCTGCTTCCGCGCCGGCACTGCCGCGGCTTCGCCAACCGCCGCCGCCCGCGCCTCCCCCCGGCCTCGTCTCCGCCTCCGTGCCAGCCGCCGCGGCCTCGCCAGCCGCCGCGGCCTCGCCAGCCGCCGCCCGCGCCTCTCCGCGGCCTCGTCGCCGCCTCCGCGCCAGCCGCCGCGGCCTCGCCAGCCGCCGCCCGCGCCTTCCCCTCCAGCGGCCTCGACGCCGCCTCCCCGCCAGCACCGCCGCAGCCTCGCCAGCCGCCGCCGTCCGCGCCCCTCCGCGGCTTCAACGCCGCCTCCGCGCCAACCGCCGCGGCCTCGCCAGCCGCTGCCCCGCGCCCTCCCCTCCCCCCCCCCCCCCCCCCCCCCCCCCCCCCCCCCCCCCCCCCCCCCCCCCCCCCCCCCCCCCCCCCCCGCGGCCTCGCCGCCGTTGCTCCTCCGTGACCACTGCGGGTCCACCTGCAGCCGTCCATCATGGCTACTCCTACACCCTCCCCCTCCCCACTTCCTCCCCCTATTGATACGTCCTCCATTGATAAGCTCCAGCTCGCCGCGGACAAGTCCGCAGTCAACTGGCACTCCTTCGTCGGCAGCATCCGACGCGTTCTCTCCGACGCATGGGTTCCCCCTACCGTGTCCTTGACGTCATCCTCCGCCGCCCCCATGCCCTCCCCCCCACCGAACCTCCCCACCCCGGCGAGACTCCTCCTGTTCCTCCTACTCCTGGCGACCCTCCTCGTGAACCCGATCTTCAGATCACCCCCGACCAAGCCACTGCGGACACTGATTTTATCCTACGCCGCCGTGAATACCTCATCCGCAAAGCCGAGTACGATGCTGCAGTTGAGGCCTATGATCAGGCGGTTGCTGGTCGCGACGCTCACCTCGAGGTCGTCGCCAAATACAAGGTCGACATGGCTGACTTCACCCCCAGACTCATCGCCTGGACAGCTGCTGACACCCGTGCCTGCACCGTTCTCCTTGGAGCTCTCCCTGACTCCCTCATGCGTCGCTTCCAGGCTCGGGAACTCCGTGCCTCGGTCATCTGGGCAGAACTCCATGCCATGTTTGAGCGCCGCGACATCAGCTCCGTCGGCATCCTCTTCCAAGAGTATTTTTCCATCACCCTCGCCACCTGTGACGGAGCAGTCGACTACGTCGGACGCATGCGCGAGGTAGCTGATCGCCTCGAAGCCCGCCAGGCCGGCCTCTCCGAACCTCTTCAAATCCACCGCCTCCTCTTTAACCTCACCCCAGACTACGAATCCCGCCTCCACGCCTTTACCGAAGCCAATCCCATGGCCGGTCTCGCCTCCGTTGAACAGTGGATTATCGACACCGAAGTTAAACTCCGTACACCCATCGTCAACCTCGCCTCCTCCCAACCCACCTCCTCCTCCCTCAACGCTACCCAGCCTCGCAAGCAGGGAAAGAACAACGGCAAAGGAGGAGGTGGGGGCAAGGGAGGTGGTGGTTCGGGAAGCAGCAACAACCGTGGTGGCACCACTGGGGATGAGCACGGCACCACCACTTCGGGTGGACCCACTGCAAGTCGCGGGAGTCGCCCTGGCACGCTTCCTCCCTGCACCTATGTCCGCCGCTATGGTCCTCGGGCTGGAACTCCCTGCGGACAGACCAACCATCCCCCTGGCACGTGCTTCAAGGCTCTCGACGATGCCTGGTACGCGCGGGGTAACGTTGGCACTCCTCCAAAGTGGGGCAACATCTCCCCACGCCCCTCCCCCACCGATATCCAAACCAATCCAGCCTACCTCCCAGCCCACCTCCGCCTCCTTGCTCCCCCCACACCCTTCCTCAACCTCCAGCAGCAGCACCTCCAGCAGCAGCAGCAGTTACAGCAGCTGTTTCACCCTCAGCCGCAGCAGCAGCAGCAGCCACAGCCGCCGCAGCACCCATGGGGGTCAGGACCCCAGCCACAGTGGGGACCCAGCCCTCCTCCCTGGCCGCAGCAGCAGTTGAACTTTGGCACAGCAGCCATGGCCGCTCAAGCCTCACCTGCCCCCCTTTGGGGTGCCCCACCCCCCCCCAGTAGCACTGCCACCCCTCTCACTCACGAGAGCTTCCTTGGCAACATAGCTATTTCGCCCTCTCTTCCTTCCATGTACCCATCCAACATTAATGAAACCACTTTCCAGTACTCAGTGTCTTCCTCCTCCTCCTCACCCACTCTGGACTTTGTCCTTGACAGTGGGGCCACTGAGACCGCCCTCAAAGATGCTGGTACACTCACACCCCTCTCCCCTCCCACTCAAGTTCACGGTGCTGACAGCAGCTTCACCATCCCATGCACACACCTCTCCACTCTCCCCTGTTCACTCTTCCCCTCTGGCAAGGTAACTGGTCTCCACATCCCCACTCTCCGAAACAACCTCCTCTCCCACCGTGAAATCCAAGGTGCAGGTATCACTGCCGTCTATCCTGGTAATGCCACCTACTGTGACCTTTACCACACTGCCTCCGGCCGCTTCCTCCTCCGCATACCCCTCTGCCCTCGCACTCGCCTCTACACTCTCCGCACTCCGTGGCCATCCTCCTGCCATGTTACCACTCGTGCGGGTACCTCCACCAGCCCTCCCCATCTCCCTCCCTCTCCTCCCACTCCGTCTCCTCCCCACTCCTCCATCCCTTCCTCACTCATTCCAATCCCCTCCACCTCCGACCATCTCTCCCACCCCGCTGTTCTCCTACATCACCGACTCGGCCATCCGAATTTTGCCGCTCTCCGCACTGCCGTCACCTCACGACTTCTTCACAGCCTCCCTTCAACTCTTCCTCCCCTTCCCTCCTCCCCAGCCCCCCCATGCCCCTCCTGCATCCACGGCAAACTCAAACAATCTCCTCACCACAGCCACCCATCCTTTGCTCCTGCACCCATTGACCTTGTCCATATGGACCTCTGGGGGCCCTCTCCCACCCGCTCACGCCAAGGCCATCGCTACATGTTGGTTCTTGTTGACGATCACAGCCGCTACTCCTCCATTTTCCTCCTCCACACCAAAGACCAGGCGCCGACCATTATCATTAACTGGGCAGAGCAATGCCGCACCCACTTCAAACGTCCCATCGGCCGCCTCCACTCTGATGGGGGAGGCGAATTCCTCAACCGCACTCTCTCTCACTACTGCACCACCCATGGCATCCAACAGACCCACACTCTTCCCCATTCCCCACAGCAGAACGGCGTCACAGAAAGCCGCATTCGCGAAATCACTAAGATCGCCCGCTGTCTCCTTGCTCACGCCTCCACCCCTCCCTCTCTCTGGGGCTATGCCCTCCTCCATGCTGCCCTCCTCCTCAACCTTCACTCCCATCCCCAACACACTGCCGCTACCCCCACGGAGCTCTGGTCAGGAACCAAACCTGACGCTGCCGGTCTCCGTGTCTGGGGTTGCAAGGCATATGTGCTTATTCCTCCACCCGACCGCACCCAAGGCAAGCTCGCTCCTCGCGCCCTCGAGTGTGTCTACCTCGGACACAACCGCGACTCGCCTGGTTACCTCTTCCTTCACCCTCCCTCTGGTCGCCTCATCCGCAGCATTGACGTTGTGTTCGATGAGACCACCCCGTACTACTCCTCCCCACCACCGGACCCCCTCCCTCCTCCCACACGTCCTCTCGCTTGGGCCGACACCGTCCTCCCTCCCCTCCTCCCTCCGGCACCTCTTCTCCCACCCCTCCCCACCCCGCTTCCGCCACCTTCATCCGCCGACGTCTACGATCCCACTGCTCCTGCCTCCCCCGCACACTCCACGGCTCCCCCTCCCCCCTCCCCTTCCCACTCCCCTCCTCATCCATCACAGCAGCAGCAGCAGCAGCAGCAGCAGCAGCAGCAGCAGCAGCAGCAGCAGCAGCAGCAGCAGCAGCAGCAACCGCAGCGGCAGCAGGGGCAGCAGCAGCAGCTGCAGCAGCAGCAGCAACAGCAGCAGCAGCAGCAGCAGCAGCAGCCGCAGCAGCAGCAAGGGCAGCACCAGCAGCGGCAGCAGCAGCAGCCGCAGCAGCCACAACAGCAACAGCAGCCGCAGCAGCAGCAGCAGGGGCAGCAGCCGCAGCAGCAGCAGGGGTTCCAGCAGCACCAGCAGCAGCAGCGGCGCAGGGCAATTGCCCGCTCCTCACCCTTCCTCCTCCCTCGCATGCACACCCGCTCCCTTGACCCCATCCTTGGTGCACCGTCTCCTCCCTCCCTCAACCAACTGGAGGACTCCCATGAGGAGTTCACCATGGTCCGGCGCCACACTCCCTCTCTCACAGTACTTTCCCCTGACCTCCTCGGCGCCCTACTCCTTAGCGCGATCCCCGCTCCCACCATCTTCGTCCCCTCCACTTTCCAAGAGGCTATCACCTGCCCTGACGCCGATAAGTGGATAGCCGCCATCTTCCAGGAATGTGAAGCATTCATCCACAATAACTCCTTCATTGACGTTCCCCTCCCTCCTGACGCCAACCTGGTTGAGGGCAAGTGGATCTTTCGAGTCAAGCAGCTGCCGGGAGAAGAACCAGTCTACAAAGCCCGCTACGTTGCCAAGGGGTTCACCCAGACCTGGGCTGAGGACTACTGGTTCACGTTCGCCCCCACCGTCAAGCAGGCCACCCTACGCACCCTTCTTGACATCGGTGCAAGAGACGACATGGAGATTGACTCCATGGACGTCTCCAACGCTTTCCTGCAAGGTGAACTGCACGAACGCATCTTTCTCCGCCGACCTCCCGGGTTCCATGCTACGTTCCCCGACAACACCGTCTGGCAGCTGAAGCGACCGGTCTACGGCCTGAAGCAGGCACCACGAGAATGGCATGCGAAGCTGTCTGCTACTCTCCAGTCCCTTGGCTTCTCCCCCTCCCACTCCGACGCCAGCCTCTTCATCCGCTCTTCCCCCAGTCGCTTTTTCATCTCGGTCTACGTTGACGACATGATCCTGCTGGCGGATTCCAGGGCCGACATGGACCAGATGAAGCGGTCACTTCAGGAACGACTCAAGTGCAAGGACCTTGGTCCCCTCCAGAACTACCTCGGCATGGCTATCACCCGTGATCGATCCGCCCGCACCATCACTCTCTCCCAGTCCCACTACATCGGCCAGGTCCTGGAGAAGTTTGAGATGGCGCAGGCCAAACCAGTCTCCACCCCCCTCCCCTTCGGTCACCAACTTGCGCCACCCACCTCCCCCTCCTCCTCCTCCCGGCCCTACGCCGAGCTCGTTGGGTCGCTGATGTACGCGATGATGTGCACCCGCCCCGACCTCGCCTACCCCGTCAGCGTCCTTGCTCGGTTCGTCGGCTCTGGCCGTCACACTGAGGAACACTGGGCTGCCGCCAAGCGGGTCCTTCGCTATCTCTGCGGCACCAAGGATCACGCTCTCACACTGGGTGGATCCTCCCCTCCCCTTCTCTCGGGCTTCAGTGACTCCTCCTGGGCAGACAATCAGCCAGACCGCCGCTCCTCCCAAGGCTATGGCTTTACCCTCGGCAGCGGACTTATCAGCTGGCGTTCCACCCGCTCCTCAGCCATCGCTCTCTCTTCCTGCGAAGCTGAGCTCTATGCGGGCACCATGGCCGCTCAAGAGTCCCGCTGGCTCTGCTTTCTTCTGGCAGAGCTTGGTGCCCCCCAGCGCTGTCCCACGCTCTGGTGTGACAACGCCAGCACCATCCACCTCACCCAGGATCCAGTCTTTCATGGTCGCTCCAAGCATATCGAGCTCCGTTATTTCTTCATCCGCGACCTCGTCCGACAGAATCTTATCGCCGTCCGCAAGATCGCCACTGAAGCCAATTTGGCGGATATCTTCACCAAAGCACTTCTTCGCCCTGCGCACTCTGCTCTCCTCCGCCTCATTGGCCTCGCTCCCCCAGGCGCGCCTTGATTCAGGGGTTGCTTCTCTCCAGCCTTTCCGCATCTCTGCAGGTTAAGGGGTTGTGTTAGAATATCTCCTCTCTTGTAACCTGCATATATGCTATAGGATAGGCTAGAGATAAGCACCCAAACTTAGTTTGGGTGTACAAGCAGGGGTTACCCAATTTGTAGGTTGGAAACCCAACCTTGGTCCAATTATTGGACCCCAAGGGTTGGGATGGGTAGAATTATTGGTCCCCTCCAATAATGTTGGCCCAACTCCAACTTGGCCAACATTATTGGACCCCACCAATAATCTCCCAACCCAACTCCTTGGTTGGGGTCCAATAATGTTCACCTAGGCTAGTTTCCAACTCATCTCCTATGTAAACCCCCCATCCTTTCAATCAATCCATCAACTTCTCTTCTAACTTTTCTTCTCACACCCGAGTCGAGTAATACTCGGCCGAGCAATTTTCCCCCAAACAGATACTCGTTACTCGCCTTCTTTAGGGAAACTCGGGCGAACAATTTGAAAAACTCATCCGAGTACGAGTAATGCTCGGCCATGCCCCCTATAGGGGCATAGAACGACTTTGTACATAACGCCTAGTGAAGTCCATGGTACCACGTAGTATTTGGGTTTCCAGGGCCGCCCAGGTAAACCCAAGGTGGTCCATGCCATGGTGGCCTAGGGAAGCCCAGGAAAGCCCTGGCCTGGGTTGCCCCTGGGCACCCTTGGGCTGCCTAGGTAAGCAAGCAAGCGAGTACTCGTCGAGCAAAAAAAACTCGGCGAGTAATACTCGGCTCGACTCGGCCGAGTAAAATTTTCAAAAAACGAAACTCGTTACTCGCCCCCAAACGAGTAACTCGGCCGAGTCCGAGCGAGTAACTCGTCTCGTTGCTCAGGTATAGGCGGCCTCACCTGGGGCAATGATAGTATGAGGTCGATGCCCCACGAGTCAACAGGTGAACCGGAGTCAACACGCGCCTCACCTCTAGCGGCAAGTGCACGAGGTCAATGCCAGCCTGTAGTCAAAAGGAGTCAACGCAAGTCAACTCAGGCCTCACCAGAGTCAACATGCGCCTCACCTGAGGCTGCGAGTGCCTCACCTGAGGCAGCGAGTGCACCAGGTCGATGCCAGCCTGCAGCTCGTTCAGCTGCGAGCGAGGCAGCGGCGCCGAGATGGGCATGTCCTGCACTATGCTTGAGCGCTCGCCCTGGGGAAGAGGGGGGAAGGGAAGGGAGGAAAGGGGCGACAAGGGGCGACCAAGTGCTATGAGAACTTGACCAGGTGATGCTCACAAGGCAACGAGATGGGGGAGAAGCCCTGCATGATGCTTGAGACAGGGTTCCACTTGACACCCACCTTGGCCTCCAGACTTGAAAAGGGCAGGGCGGAAGCATAGGGAGTGGTGCTCTTCTTGACGAATTTGAGCTGGTGGCACGTGGCGCAGCAAACTATGTATGGCATGAGAAGCACCCACCTTGGCCTCGAGAGACAGGAAAGGTAGTGCAGGAGCAGAGGGGTTGGTGCTCTTCTTGACGAGCTTGAGGTGGTGGCGCGTGGCAGCGGTGGTGAGGGAGGAGCGGAGGGCACGGGCGAGCAGAGAGAGGTCAAGAGAGAAGGCGATGCGGTCGGCACTGGCGCTGCTGATGAGATGCTCTGAGAAGAGCTCGCCCTGTAGAAGGGGTGGGGGGAGGGTGGGTGTGGTGGGGGATGGGGGGGGGGGGAAGAGGAAAGCAAGAGTGCATGGGAGAGCAGAGAGGGGTCGAGCGCGAATGCGATGTGATCTGTGCTGGCGCTGCTGATGAGATGCTCTGAGTAGAGCTCGCCGTGAGAGGAAGATTGGGGGCAGACGGAGGGCGGGAGGAGAAGAGAGGAGGGTGTGAGGAGGACAAGAGGGAAAGAAGGGCATGTGAGGAGAAAAATGATGTACTTGATGGAAAGAAAGGAACGCAAGGAAGAGAAGAAGAAACAGAAACGTGAGTGGGGGGGCATTAAAGCTGGAAATTGTGCGATGGCAGCGTTCCATGGGCTGTAATTTATGCGCGAGATGCATTACAGTATGGCTTTGTATGCATGGCTATCTTACAGTGGGGAACTGTGCGATGGCCTGCACGCCATCAGCGGAGGAGAGCACGTTGTGCAGGAGGAAGACGTCAGACGGTGTGAGGTAGGTACACGTGGCACACCCGCCCTATGCGCTCAAACGCCGGCAGGAAGCCTGCGGGAGGGCGTGGAGTGGGGGTGACGCAGGAGGTGGTGTGGTTGGCGCCATGCGGGGGCATGCATGGCGTGGCCGGCGTGGCGTGCCGGTGCCGGCAAGGATGATTCCAGGGCGTGAGGTGAACGTGGCGTGGCAGGAACCCTGCAGGAAGGTCGTGGGGAGGGATAGGGGGGTGGCATGGCGGGTGGGTGGTGGCATGGGGTGGACCGTGGAACAGTGGGATCATATCAAACACAAGCATTGGCAACCTGATGGTGCCAGGGCATGAGGTGCATGTGGCACATGCGATGCGCCAAATGCGCTCGGCGACGCTGACAGCAACCCTGCAGGGGAGGGCCGGGATGGAGGGTGGCATGGCGGGTGGTTGGTGGCATGAGCTCAAGGCGTGTGGCTGCACTGCACTGTTACGGGCATCCGCGTCCATGCATGTTGTGTGGGTGCTGCTGGGGTGTGGCTGGTACAAGGTGGGGTACAAGGTGGGGTACAAGGTGGGGTACAAGGTGGGGTACAGGCCTACAAGGGCGCGCTCCAAGGCCGATACGTGCCCTGCAGGTCAGGGCGTGGGGTGGCGGTGGGGGAATGATGACATGGGGGGGTGATGGCTAGAGGTGCAAGGCATGGATAAGTGGAGGAATGGTGCGCCTTGGGAACGGAAACAGGCATAGATCAAATAAAAGCGATTCCAGTATCGCGCGATTAATGTGATCCAACTATTCTGCGTATGTGAGGGAATAGGCCCAGAAAGCCGTGGGGTGGTCACCACGGCGGTCGTGCCGAGGCGTGATGGCATGGGGTGGTGGCATGGATGAAATGGTAGCATGGATGGGATGATGGCATGGCATAACCAAGGGCATGCAGGAAAGCGATAGGCGCTGCATGTTGCACCTCTTCGTGGTGAACAGAGAGATGAGAAGCGCGGAACATGTGACCCAAGCGATCGAGGCCGAGATACCTAGCTCTATCCGGGGGGAAATGCATAGCAAGAGCAATCGCACACAATGGATCGGAATGGGAAAGGAGTTGTCAAGCGAGCAGACAGGGAAGGGAGGAGGAAGGTGACGTCAGAGGCGGACTCACGTTGCTCGAGGAGCGTCATTGCGTCCGTCGTGAGAATCGCCTTGAACCGCATGATGCTGTACGCTCTGCTGTGTGCTCTGCTGTGTGCTCTGCTGTACGCTCTGATTCTGCTTTATGCTCTGGTGGTTGCTCATGTGTAAGTAAGCTCCGACGTATGCTCGGCTGCGCTCTGATGCGCTGCCTGCTCTTACGCCTGTCAAGCGAACAGTTTTCGTTCAACATCGGACATTTGAGGTGTTGCACTGGCAATCAGGGAGGCAATACTCGGGCGATAATGTTGGTGGGAAAATTGGGGGGGAACAATCTGGGAATCGCGTTGGCGATTGTCACGAATGTCTGTGCTCTCGCGACCAATCAGAGCACATCGTCGATACATTGTGCAGGGTATGCCTGCTAACTGCTTGCGTCGTGGGGCAAGTTTCGCAACTGCGCGTCAACACTGAGGACTGTTCGTGCTGAAAATCTCGTCGTATGCAAGTTATCGTTACTACTCAAAGTCTCTGGAAAGTACAGTAACTTATTTAAATGCTTTGTTACAAATTTGCATTGTTAATTTTTTTTCTTGTAGTATTATTTTTTCGGAGTTAGCGTAGATTAGAATCCAATTTTTATTCTTGGAATTCAATATATCTAGTAATTGTTTTTTCAATGTTTGCAACATTGAGCTTATTATGCACATACCGTAATATATTGTCATAGGAAAAACATTTTTTTGTAGGAGCTGTAAATATATATGTACGAGGCCATGTTACTACAAGAACAGTAAAACATCTGTTTCACCGTAGCCTCTTGTGACGAGTCTGTTGAATGTAGTCGTTGAAATCGATCGCCCAATCACTGACGCGCGACAAAACTTCTTTCATCTGGTGTTGCGATCTGGCGCGATCAAGTCTCGTGTGTTGCGACCGTGTTACTACACGGTCGTTTCGTGTCGCAGATATGGTAACGTGGGGTCGCGACTGACTCAATTTGACCCGCGACCAATCAAGAAGCTTGGGAATCTGAGCGAGATTGGTGCCTCGCAGCCCCCTCGGTCCCCCTTCTGCTCAACTCGATTCTACGAAATGACTGCGTGTTTTACCCTAAACCGTACCCAAACAAGAGAAAGTATGTTATAACCGATCTCTGCAGCACATCATCTCTTTCTACCGCTGAGAATTACATATACGAGACTCCCTTCACGTTCCTGGGGTTTGAGACCCAATCTCACTAGGAACGCAAGGAACTCAGCATGCCTCTGAATTTACCAGAATCTCATTCCTAAGAAATCTAGTGTTGCTCTTTTTCCAGAGCCTTTAATTTTGATGGGCGACTTTCACTGCTGCTCAAATCAGAGGATATAAGTGACGTTTTGAGAATAAGTTTCCTCGAGGAACGGATTGCTGGTGGTTTCTGTTACCACCTTCTTTGCAAAAACGAGCCCCAGAAGCACCATCAACTTCCAGCCACGAATCTCCTGGGTTGTATGGCCGTTTGATATTCCGGAATAAGAGTACATTATCTGCATTACGCTTGAATGTCACTCTAAGATCTCCCATTGCTGCTTTGGCTTCTATGACAATCAAACTCAAGTTTCGGGTGCAGTTTTTGATTGCATTGGCAATCATGGTGGTATCATGCATCTGTTCTCGTCAGTTTGCTACTCGTGCAGACTTGGGAAAGCACAAGAAATTCTGCAAGGCCACGGGATCAACAAGGCGAGATGAACAGGTAGCATTCATGGAACGGGTGCAGCGTGCACGAGTGGACAAGGAGCTGGAAAGAGAGCGACAGAGGCAGCGCGTTTCACGGGAACAACCAGAGGTTAGTCCACCCACTGAATCCGAACCAACCTTCCATTTTCCTGCTGCGGAGGGTTTGTTTGAGAGAGAACCTAGTCCACCCATTGTTGGACTAGGAGTGGAGGACGATTTACCATGCGTTGAACCTGAATGGGACGTCAATATTGCTCTTTTGACAGTGCTGTTATCGTGTAATGGTGGTATGGGCCTGTCAGCTTCGGATATCAACCGTATTCTTGCCATTTTGCATCATCCCAAGTATAAGAAACCAGTTTACCACAACCGAACCAGCATGGAGAAGTTTGAGAAGCAACAATTGGCTGAGGTGAGTGGGTTTGCCACTTGGGAAAGCATCGATGTGAGTGAGAACAAAGATGGTTCTGCAAAGCTTTACAAAACATCTCTTGCGGATGCTGTTCAGAGTTTGTACGCTGAACCAAAAGTGGCTGAAGGATTTGTGGTGTGGGCTGAGGCTTTAAAAACGAGCGACGGGAAGCGAATCTTTGCTGGCCCTGAAACAGGGGACATGTGGATCAATGCCCAGAAGGAAATTCCGTGTGGTAGCGTTATTGCACAAGTTATTGTGTACAGTGATGCAACAAATCTGAGCTCGGATGGCCGTGTTGTAGGTCATCCTGTTTATGTGACACTTGCAAACATTCAAGTGAAAGACAGATGGCAGCCGTATGGGCACAGGATGGTGGCCTTGTTGCCTCCCTTGACCGGCATTGACGCCAAAACCGAGGCGGGCAAGGCTACCCGGCGCAACATCTTCCAGCGAGCTATGTGTCACGTGCTGCGCGACGTCAAGCAACTATCAGCAAGGTTCGTACGCATTTGTGGTTTAGGCATTGTTTCGCAAGTGTATGTATGGTGGTTATTTACAAACACTACTCTCAATAAACTCAATTTCCATGTTCTTCCTACCCATGTTCAGTGGCAGGACCATGCTGGACCCATTTGGGATTGAGCGCATGGTGTACGCAATGTTGTATGCGTACGTTGCGGATCATCCGGAGGCATGCAAGGTGGCTGGAACTTTCGCAAGCCATAAGGCGAAGTTCCCTTGCCACCGATGTTTGGTGGAAACGGACAACATTAGCAACATGGAGCTCCCTTTGGTGTATCGGACCGAGCAGGACCAAATGGAGAAGGTGAAAGAGCTTATGGCGATTGAAGGTCCAACCGCCCGTCTGAACGCCTCACGCAGTATTAGCACCCACCCAGTAGAGGTGAGTAGAACCTGCCTGTATCGATATGTCCCCCCCCCCCTCTCTTCCCCTCCCTCCCCCCTTCTCCCCCATCCCCCTTCCCTAGCAAAGTATGAAATACGTCAGCCGCCCCATTTTTAGGCTGCCCCACGTGTTTTGGTCCTCTGCCCTCTGTTCTTGTTTCCTCCCCCGTTGAATTCCTACTTCTATCAATTTCCTTTGCCCACCCCGTTCCAAATTCACCTCATCCACCTCCCCTCCCCTTGTCTCGTCTCCCCCTTCTTGTGTCCCCGCTCCCAAACCGCGTTCCTTCTTCCCCGCTGCCATTTCCTGTGCACCTTCCCCTTCCCATGATTTCTCCCCTCTCCTTCCATCCCCGCACTTCTTCTCCCGTGCCTCACTTCTCGCAGGGTAAAGGGTCCATAGACTTCCCATGTATCGTTTACAAAACCTCATTATTTCTATGCCCTCACCCATTTCGTGTTTCCCTACTACAGGCCGCCATCTGGGGGTTTGCACTGGGGCTAACTGACGTTGGTAACCCATATCGTGCGATTCTTGTTGAAGTCATGCATGCGTGGGAGTTGGGTGTTTTCTTACACATTGTTTCATGCATTCGCAACATGTTCAAGGGTAATCGTAAGGTGTTGGTTGAGCTTGATGACGCACTTCAATCGGTGCACGGTAACACTCGCATATCTGGCTTTCGTATGCCTGGGACGGATAAGGGTGGGTACTTTTCAGGTGGCTCGAACTTCCAGGCCTTCGAACATCGCGATGTCATGCAAGTGATATGCATTGTTCTCAGCATGGTGGCGCTCGTGCCCCAAGCCGTCATCGATGCGGTAGCGGCGTTTGTTGATTGCTACATGTTGGGGTGCCGGCGTTGGTACCACACGGAGGGCACCCTTGATGAATTGCAACGCGACATCAAGAAGTGAGTACTATCATGCATGTAGTGTTGCCTCATAACTCATCCCTTGCATCCCCCCACCTGCTTGCCTTCTCTGCTGCCCAAGCAAGTCAACCGTTCACAACACAACCCATCCCTTGAATCCGCCCACCTGCTTGCCTTCTCTGCTGCCCAAGCAAGTCAACCGTTCACAACACAACCCATCCCTTGAATCTGCCCTCCTGCTTGCCTTCTCTGCTGCCCATGCAAGTCAATGTTGCCTCACAACCCATCCCTTGAATCCGCCCACCTGCTTGCCTTCTCTACTGCCCATGCAAGTCAATGTTCACAACACAACTCATCCCTTGCATCCCCCCACCTGCTTGCTTTCTCTGCTGCCCATGCGAGCCATCTTAACCCAAATTCCTTATCCCTTTGTTCATCCATATCATGCATGATCACAGATTGATCCCGCAGCTGAAAACAGTGTTTGGTGCGCAACAAGCCAACGAGTTCAACCTCACTAAAGTCCATGACATGGCTCACCTAGTGGACGACATCGTGCGATCGGGGGTACCCGTACATTACAATGCGAAGTTCGAGTATCTCCATCAAACGCTCGTGAACATTTTTTAATTTCTGCCCGTCAGCACCATTAATTACGGGCTGCTATATTGTCGCCACATTCTGTACCTCGGGGTCAACTCTGAATATTGGCAAAACTGCCTAGAAGTGCATTCCGTGAGCATCATGTTGGATTCCTCAAACTGTTGGGCGGTGGGTGGCTGTTGAGCTGTCACGGCTGGTTGCCCACAGTGCAAAACGGTGGGCCTCACTGCTGAGTTGTCACTTTTCCGTTCAGGCAGTGCACCTTGCTCCGTAGCTTTACAAACTTTGAGAACCTTTTCGATTCCCTGTCAAGCGTAAAATATGTATTTTCAATGTTCATCTTGGTTACATTTTGCTCCTAAAGCATGGCTTGAAACTCCTGACCCAAAGGTTATGGGCACAAGGAAAAAGTAAAACTGCCACACACGTCCCTACCCTCTTCTCCCCTAGGAACCTGCAAAGCAGAGTTTGAACGGACCCACGTCCTGCCTTTTCTGGCCATGCTCCACCCCACGGTTCTGCCATCACAGTTGAGCAGGTACCGTTCACCGTTTCTGCTGCGAGAGCTTTTCACACGCCAGCTTCATGGCTGACGTGATATCACGCACGGTAATGCTCCGTACTTGTAGCTCGTAGAACAA